TTATAAGTAACGTTAATTAAATGTTTAAGATTAAGCCTTCGAATCTTTAAAGATTGCATTTCAATACCTGAAAATCCAATAATTAGATAAACAGTTATTAAAGATTTTCTCCCTACTATTTTTGCGTATTGTCCTTACTTAACGTTTTAAAATTGAAACTATTTTTAACTCCCGTTTTTTGACAAGGATGTTAAATAAAACGATTTTAACGATGTAAGGAAACATAATATTAAGGAAAGAAAAAAAAGTATTTTTTTCTTCGCGTTAACATGAAGAATTACTTTTTTAAAAAGATGTTCTACTGGGGTCAAACGAAAAGCGTTCTAATGAAGAATAAGATACTTGGCCTCCTAATTTTTGACCTATGACTCTCTTGACCTTACTTTTAGAATCGACAAATTACTTGACTCTTTTGTTCATAATGCTTCTTCTTTTGGCGTTTAAGTGGATTATATAATAAACATTGCGAACGGTACGGGTTTTTTTTTCTTTCTTTCGCGGCTTGTGGCGTGAACATAATTTCAGTTTGTTTTGTTTGTCGTCTAAGACAAGCGGAAACAATTCATTATCGTTGATTTTTATGTTCATAAAAGAGTTAATCTATATGCTTCTTCTAAATTTTTTATGCCTTCCTTATTCTATAACTTTCATTTTGTGCCAAATAAATAATTTCTGATGTTCCGAAAATAAAAATTCAATTTCGGGGAAATTAAGTAATATTTTTCACTCAAAAATTATATTCTATAAGTTTTCACGTTACTGCTTTCGTGTATTATAAATGTATTTGGTTCAAAGTTTATTGCTTTTACTCATCTATATTTGTTGTAGATAAAAGTTAAAGCTAATGCCATAAACCAGGATAATTTGGATTTGGTTTTTAAGCCATTATTTCTTCTATTCTACTTATTGAATACCCGTTATTTTTTCGGGAGTTACATAATTAATAAATTAGTATTGCTCAACATTACCAAATTGAAAGATATACCGATACAATTAAGCTAAAACTAGACCATTGTTTGTTTGTTTTTTTACTTTTTTTTTTTAATTTCTTGCTTTTTCTAGTGGCTATTTACGTTATTAAATTAATAAAAACATATTTTTCGAAGTTCATCTCTTCAAAATAACGGCTAATCTATATATATATTTCTCTTACACGGCTACAAAAAAAAAGCCTCATTACAACTTCCCGAATGGCAACGCTAGAAAATCGACCAATGATTGCCGCTAAAAATGTCGCATGCCAAATCTAGCTGAGGTGGTTCAACGTATGGCACTTTTAAAAACGGAAGCTGAAAAAACCTTAAGCTAGGCAGAAGTGACTAGTCTTTGTCGATAGATCTCTATTTTAGTATTTTGTCGAAAGCGCTTTTTTTTCACGAATTTATATATTACGAATTCATTTGACGATTTTTGATTTATATCACGAATTTATTTGTTTCATTATTGTTATTAGTTATTCAATGAAAAATGAGTCTCAGTCATGCTGTTACGCTTTAAGATTTTATACTATAGCACATTTCTAATTGGTTTAACAAATTACATGTCATTTATTTGAATTCAAATTAATTTTAATGACTTAGTATTTACTAAAAGGATGTAATGTTTTTTTTAAAAAAAGTTGTTATATGGATTTGAATAATTGTTCTGAATTCTTAGAATTTTGTGTATTTGAAATGAACCTAAGTTAGTGAACCTAAGTTAATTCCATGTGAACCTAAGCGAGCGAAGAGAGCTTGCTTTGCGAAGCAAACCATATAAGATTGCGTAGCAATTTTCGGGGGTTAGCGAGCGTTAGCCAGCAGGGGGCTCAGCCCACTAGTTATATTTAGTATCAGTTGTCATAATGCTACTGTCGAGGTCAAATCCTGATAGTCTTAAAACTACCACGATCAACAATTTTCTACAGTAACTTATCCCTTTCTGTGGGTCCTAAAAAATAACGACTTCGTAAAAAAATGACATAATAGGTATTTTGGTACCAATAGTAGTTTATTTTGTACCTGTGATGATACAATAGGCATTACATATTTCTTAGCTTTTAAAATTTCTTTACTTTCTTAAACTTATATTTTTAATCATTTTTAATCGAATTGTAATTAAATAAAATAAATTAGTTTATTTATATTAAAATTTATTAAGAACAAACATAAAATATTTTATTCTTTTCTTTTCGATCTAACGGCTCATTTTTTATTTCAATACTAATGTTGACTCATTAATCCACTGTCGCGCCTTATTGAAAACAAAAATTTATTTATAACTCTTTATTGTTAATTTCTGATCACAAATATGTTTCAGTTATAGGGTTATACTAATTCTCACTATCTTGTTGATGATTCGCAATCACCAATGTATTTTTTCAAACCTAATATTGATTATGTCCACCACCAACCACGGAACTCTTCATTAGCTTCTAATTGTCTGTTGGGAGCAATTCAATTGCTTTTTAATTGGGCTTTTGAATAGGCCTTGTTTTCCATGGCCTGTTCTTATTAATATTATTATGTGAAATTTATTTAACTTAGAAAGTCTTATAGATAAAATTATAATTTGTATCTCGAGCTCTACAAATACTACAAAATAAAAGTTTTATTTTAATTGTGATTCAGCTTTCATCTTCGACTATCATTTTCATTATCATGTTTTTTACCACTATCTTCAATTAGTCAAATATACCATCTTACTCCAACCACACCTGATTTCCCTCTTCATATTACGCATTAAGAAACACCCATTAACCTAATATCAATAGTACCTCTTGTTAAAATTAATTGAGCATCATACATTCTGGTATACTTATATAAGCTTTTTTGCAGATTAAAACGTAGGAATCTTATTTTAGATATAATTCTTGGTAAAAGCCATTGCTAACAAACTGTTTAACAAGTGATTTAAATGATAGAAATACCGCGTCTTATGAATAATTCTGTTTTTCCCATTTAAAAGCTAAAAATTAAAAAAAAAAATAATAATAAAAAAAAAAAAAAAGACGTATTTCGTATACCTCAAGAACTTATTCCGTTCAAATTAACGAATTCGACATTAAAAATTATATTGTTTCAAAAGATGTTAAAATTTGCAGACTTACAATTTCAAATGATCATTAATGAATTAAATAACAATAAAAAAGAGCAGTGAGCCATAGAAATAAAGTATTACTTCTGAATAACTTTTTTTCTAGTGAATAGATTTTCATTCAGTGGTAAAAGGCACTCACCTGAAAGGTAAAGGATTGGAGCTCGAACTTAGTATTAGAGTTTGACAAAACGAATTATCTAAGTGATTCGAATCAATGGATTCGAACAAGTTGTTTTTATCGAAATAGATTTAAATTACTAATAAATAGTTGTTTCTTAAATTTCAGTTAGTTTTGTTTCACAGTAATGCTATGTTTACAGTTAAAAATTTCGTGTGAAACAGAAGAGAATCTTACTCATTCATTATTTAAGATTTTCCAATTAAAGAATTCGGTGAGTTCAGATATAAAATATATATATATNTATATATATATATTTGTAGTTTCTTAAAATTTGCTATAGTTATGCATTTTTATAGCAATTAGCAACATGTACAATATAATTATATTCAAGATATAATAAGTATTACTTAAAATAATTCAATAATGAGAAAGAATGATTTTTTTTATATCGACATTAGTTAAAAGAAAAATAGCGATATGTAAAATAAACATTTTTCGAATTTTTTGCAATTTCAAAATTCTTTGAAGCATTTGGTTCGAACCACGTGATTCGCGATTAAGTCATGTTATTTGATTCAGTGATCCAAATGACTAGATTTGAAATGAGATCTGAATCACTTGATTCGAATCATTGATCAGAATCACAAAATTTGAATCAGCTGATTTGAATCAATTGATTCGAATCAGTTGTAAGATGGTGATTCGAATCACCAAATCAATTCTCTGATTCGAATAATCGAATCAGAGAATTATTATGGAAGTAAAGACGGCGTGACGGCTCTCTATTCACAATGCCACTCCACAATCATACCATTGGTCTCGAAATTGCGGAGCCTTAAGCAAAGCCCTGATTCACAGCGAATTGTTTAATTTTTATGGTAGTTAAAGTATTCACCCGTCGAAAAGAGAAAGCACCCTTTCTCTTTGTTCGATTTCATTTGACACCAACTACATCATATTTAAGGTCAATCCCTTAAGTCAGTGGTTCTTAACCTTTTTAAGCCGCGACCCAAATTTGAGAAATATGTTCATGTCGCGACCCAAAAAAAAGTCAAAATTAGGCTGAGTAAGCCACAATGACTTCTTCTAGGAGGTGTTGGTATTACTTATTATTCGGCGTATTACTAACTTTTTTGGTTCGACTCAGCACGACCCAAGAAATATGCTTTGCGACCCAATTTTGGGTCGCGACCTATAGGTTAAGAACCGCTGCCTTAAGTCATTGAAATTTAGTTTGTGAAAATCTTACCATTGGAACAAATATAATGAGAGAGATATCTTTTTTTTCGGCTCTCCAGCGATTTCCTTAAAAATAAAAAATAAAAAAACTAAAACTAACTTTTTTTTTATGAATGGGTTAACTTTGTGTAATGCAATACGTTAAAAATAAATACAAATAGGAAATCTATAATAGACCCGTCACAAGCATGTTTAAATGTAAAAGTATTGCGTATAAATTCGTGCAAATCATGTCATTATTAAAACACCACAGTGCGTCTAATGATTTGGTCTCATTATTACAATATAATAATATAATACCTGATATAATAAATATTATATATTTATATAATATATCGTCTCATTTATATTATATATCGTCTCATTTAACCCATTGATACACGAACGTAAACAAGTGCAAACAGTCACATAAAAAACAATAAAGCTGTATAGAGTATCACCTGTGTAATTAATAATTTTACATAGAATCTTAGAGTGCGTTTAATAATTTGGCCAGGACTATTCTTTGAAGTGTGTTAAACTTTATGTGTGAAGAAAATGTAATCATTTGGAATCTTTTCAGAACTGTCAGATGTCCGGGAAGCAAATGAACACTTTGTCCGGATGCGGCTAGAGGCCGGATGCCGGATTCCCCGCCCACAAGTGATCTGCGTGAGGGATGTATACCCAGAGAAGAACATCCTGCCACGCTGTACACTACTGCACCGATGCACAGAAATGACTGGATGCTGTGAAGATGAGACTACGCAATGTTCACCCAAAGCAATGCAGGAGGTCGTCATGCTTTTTTATGTAAGACACGCCCATTCCTAAAATCACCACTCTTTTTTTTTTTGTTGTTGTTGGAGTCAGACTGCGTACTTGAGTCATCGAAATAAAATAATCAAAACACAATATTGAAGGAAATAATGCATGACTTCAGAAGAACGTGTCTCATTAGCGGAATATATTCGAATTAGTTAAAAATTTTTCATATTTTTAAAATCATATTTTATTTCCATTATTTAACCGCTCTCCTTATCAATTCGTTTGGAAAGAAAGGCAAAAAAACCAAATAATTTTTTTTATTTTATTAATTAAGTCAAGGAACTAAAAACATAATACGTAAGTTTTAAGTTGAAATTTTAATTTTTTTATGTGTTAAAAACATTTAATTTACTATCAGTTTACAATCTCGGAGGCAAATGAAAAAAGTTAAATATTAGTCTGTGTAGGATAGTTTTTAAAACAAGGGACAACACGGTGTTACTTTCCAAACGCCAGTGTAGTGATATGCGCTTTTTTTTTTGCGCTTTTTTCAGTGCAAATTCAGCAGCCATCGTATATACAATCTCACAAAACACGTGTGCAGTCCCACAATCCAATAGTAAAAATCCCAAACAATCAATGGTAAACTTACAATCAATCACAGCAGATTTTTATTTATTTATTTTTTGCTTCCGCTCGAGTAAAAACGTGATGAAACAAAATGTACTGACACGTTCTGCTACGCCCGAGTTTCTTCGGAGCAATAATTATTTGCAATGTACACATACCAGAGTTTCTTCGGAGCAATAATTATTTGCAATGTACACATACCCGAGTTAACTCGGGATAATAATTATTTGCAATGTACACACATACCCGAGTTAACTCGGGTTAATAATTATTTGCAATGTACACATACCCGAGTTACCTCGGGATAATAATTATTTGCAATGTACACATACCCGAGTTAACTCGGGATAGTTAGGGAAAGTGATTAAACTAACGAATTTTATTTCTTAAATAGGTAAAATAGAAAATATGGCTCCAGGCTCTAAATTTTTAGAAGGCAAAAAAATAAATAAATAAAAACAAATTATGAATAAAAATTCTGCAAATAGAAAATGAGATTTAAAAAAAAACCGCTAGATAATAATTTGAGCGTGGCTCTTAAACGTAAAATTTCTCATCTCTAAGAAACACTAATGTTGCATATATAAACTATAAAAATGACACGATGGTATAAAATTTGAAGAAAAAAATATAGAAAAATGTTAAGTTTCTTGGTTTTAGGTGAGAAATTGAGCATAGAATACCAGTATTTATATTATGAAGTACCATATCTTTCCGGCTTCAATGTCTTGGGATCATTAAATGTGACGAATATGATTTAAACTCTTTTTGCTTATATATATGTATGTGCAGTCAAACCCCGCTATAGTGAACACGGTTTTATAGTGACCTCCCGGATATAGTGAACGAAATGTTCGCCCCCGTGCCTTTCTACCCACGTATAATGTTATTTTTTGTGGATATAGTGAACCAATAAAAAAAAAAAAAATAGAAAGTTGGATATTTGGAACTTTTTTCTGTCTTCGACTGATTTGTTTCCTTCATTTATAATATATATTCGTAATAATTTTGAAACTTCTACTTTAAAATAAAAACATATACTGATTTTTTAAACCATCAACCATCATTATTACAGAATGTAGCAATTTGCATTTTACTTGTTTGCTTCATTATTGAATTGGTTCAGCAGTCTAAGAAGCCGCCATCTTCAGGTATCTGGACAAATACTTCAAGTCAAAGCCGATGATTTTTCTAAACGATTTGTTGAGACTGCTTTTAAATTAATTTTTTACTTTTAGGCTCGAATGGAATGTGTTTAAAAAGCGGAATAACATAAATTCGGGAAAAATTATCCGAGAATCGGGAAGTGTTTCCATATCTGATGTTGAGAACTGCTCATCAGCTAAAGATTTTTAATTTCTTTTTGTACGCAAGACGAAAAGTAATAAAAAATAATTGTTAACACATTTTTGTTACTACGTATTATTTTGCAGACATTTATTTTAATTTTATTTTATGAGTCATTTATTTGAATAATGTGTTATAAAAGAGGAGTTTGGAACGATTAGTTAAAATTGTTTGGATAGAGTGAAGTCCCGGTTATAGTGAACCGAAATTACGGTTCCTTGAATGTTCACTATAGCGGGGTTTGACTGTATATATATAGACACGTTGTGCGTATACTCAGCGTACATTAATTTCCATATCTCAATACAAAATGTTTAGTCATTGAGATGAAACAGTAAGATTCGAAAGCAAAGTGCATAAAATTAAAGGAAAGGAAAGAGGGCAAAATACTGGATTTTTTTTCACTATTTTAATTTTTTTCATTTCTAATTTTAGCTTTGTGATTACCAGTAAACTGTGTTCTCCGAAATAATTCTTAAAGGAAGTTATTTTTCTGCGAAACTATCAATTTCTTTACAAGAAGTAAGCGAATAACCATTATTATTTTTTAAAAAAAAAGAACACTTTCACACACGGATTTAACGAGCATCCTGATTTAATGAGCGATTTTTCTAGATACCTTAGTTCTCATTAACGAGTTGGAAAGTGATTTCTTATGTATAACTGTATAATGGCTACCAAATAATTGAATGATGGCATACATAAGCATAAAAACTAAGTCAGAAGAGCAATCTGCATTTAGAGTCTCTTTAAAGAAAGGGGAGATAAAAAAAAAAATGGCAGACATGTTTAGTTGTTTTTTAACGTACTTTGACCTCCACAGCTGCGGCATTTCCCCTTTTCACTAGAAAAGATATGAATAAGAAGTAAAAAATTCGACATTCTGAATATACCCAGTTGTTTTTCTTCTTCGACAAGCAGAAGACACTGAAATAAGAGGAAGGAAAAAAAAGAATAAAAGAAAGAAAAAAAGTTCGGGATTAAAGGATATAATTTGGTAGACCACCTTCAGCGTCAAATACGACATTGAAATGGTGGTAATTTTAAAGATCTCCCTTTTTGGAAGACTTATTGTCGAATCTCAACGGGAACACGACCGTTTAGAACGTTTTGATCGTAAAGAATGGGTTGTATGCTCAGAATAAAAATTGGAATTATAAGTCGTAAATAAGTTTTGAGTGGTATTAAACGCCCACTAAAAGCACGATGCGAAACTGATTATTTTATTTTATGTGCTGTTTTAATTACGGTGAATGTTAGTTTTTCGGGATTTGAGTTCGTAATAAAATAAAAAAAATTATGGATGACATCATTTCCTTGTCAATAAATCATTTATGAAGTGAAATTCTTCGTCCTTCGCATACAATGGAAAGTTTCTGAATTTTTTTTTAACCCTTTAACTTTTTGCTTTTATTGTTAAATCATAAATTTGCTTTCTTATATTTTTTTTTCTTAAAAATTAGTGCAGAGAGAAATGCGATACAAAAAAGCCGTAATTTGTAGCTATTTCTGGCAACTACTACTTATATTAGCATAGTAAAGAAACAGGGTTATAACTAAAGCCCGGAATTTCAGGCAATAAAAAATGCAAAAATAGGCAAGCAAAAAGGCATTTAAAAAGCTTGAAATAGGCACTTGAAAAAGGCACATAAAATTGGAGCAAAATGGTAGTTGGTAATGCCTAAAAGCCCATATAGGTATCCAAGGTATAAAAAGAGTTGCTAGAAGTATCCGGTATGCCTACTAATTTCACTCGACTGTCGTAGCAATAGTACAAAAGAAGTGGACATAATTGTACACAAAAAAAACCTCAACTGCGTAGGTG